AGATGGCTGCCATCGGTTCTGTACCGGAAACAAATTCCTTGTGTGTAACATACTTGGCCAATAAAGCTGATTATCCTTTTAAGCTCAACAGCACTGTGGCTCTTTGTCAGCCTGGCTACAGTGCTGAAAAAGAAACCTGGGGTTGCTCATATTTTCTTCTATCAATGATGAACAATATGTGGTTCTGGTACAACGAAAGGCTTAAAAAAAAATAAATAATTTTTTAGACTATTTTTCCAGGCTAGGACAAACTCTTCTGACTTAGTGGAGCGCCACCTTCTTTCCAGTTTTTGTGACAGTAAACACATACCCTTCATCCACCATCCGCATTTCAAAGCTGTTATGCACACCTGTGACTTGCTTGTTCATCTCGCCTGGCCACATTCACCAAGTCTTGTTATTGTTCTTGTTCTTATTCATGCCCTGTTCTTGTCAGGCAGCCTAGACCTCCTCCCAGATTCAAAACACATTGGGACACATCGCACTCAGAGGGTGACGGCTTGACACGCAGCTAAAAATGAATAAAGAGTACTATCTAGGAATATGCTGAGTAATTGATATATTTTAAAGAGACTCCCGAACCACGTTAAGTGACCTGAAGTCATTTGGAAGTGGTAGTTTGATTTATTTATTAGTTTATAATCCCATAGTGTTTCCAAAACTATTTAAAACTGAAAAGATGTCTTCTGTTGTTCAAATAAGACAAAAGCACTCCCACCAAGTCACAAAGTCTCTTCAACTAATTCTTCTCTATTAGAGCAGCTCAGACAACAGAGGTGGATGATTGGTAGATTAACAGAACACACCTTCACACCTAGTGTGTTACCACTTAATATACAGGGAAATGTTGTCCATGGAACTGGTCCAAAATATGCAGACTGACCAAATGACTACAAGCAAAATATCTTCAAATGAAAAGTAACATCACTGTATGTAACACATTGTTTCTTTACTGTTAGGGTGACTTTCAGAGAATTATTTTAATTACTGAAAAAGCCAGTAGCTGCAGAAAGTCACGTTTAGAGCATAAGGAAAATTACTACACACATCTGCTGCCCACACAGGAAAGAGCTGCTGCTAAAAATATGCCTTATGCTCAGTGTTTGTTTGCGTTGATGGCGGCTGACTTAGGCCGTGGTTGCTGTAAATGAAGCTCCAGTCACCTACTGTATAAGGAAGTACATTTTTCACATGTATAATAGTTCATGTTGTTATTTTAAGTTCTCCTCTCTGGCAAAACAGTTTGGAAGCGTAGAAGCAAACAATGTTTTTTAAAATGACTTGTATGGTCCTTGTAATAACAGTGGTGAAAGGTACATTTATTCAAATACTGTATCAAATACTGTATCTACACACAATTTTGAGGTACTTTTACCAAATTTCCACTTAATGCTACTTTAAATGTCTACAACAAAGTACATTTACTCCAGAATTGATCTTGGGTATAATTTTTTATGTATTTTACTTTTATTTCTGTTTAATGCTACTTTTTACTTCTACTCTACTACATTTCAGAGGGAAGAATGTCATTTACAGTCACGGGTTGGAAGATGTAAGATGATACATAACAAACCAACTGCTACAGTAAGTTTATTATACATTATTAAAGAACCAGTTATTCCAAACCTTTTTTGACTTGTGCATCCTTATTTAAAAAAAGTACTCTTGAGGCTTTTGAGTCTAAAAATATCATAGATAATTTTTTGTATCAGTTTTTTTCCCACACTATTTTACATTATTAATCATCTCAGATTTATCTTGCAGCCCTTTGAATGGGCCCAAGTTCTGGGTTGGGAACCACAGAAGAGTGTAGCAAATAGTTGGTTCCACCATGTATGGCAATAATACATGTTAGCAATCTAATAACACATATACACTGAATCCTAATTAATTTTAAATATCATAATATATCCTAAAATAAAGACTAGCATAGAACAACTATTTTTACTTTTGAAGCAATTTGTTAACAGTTGCTTCACCCTTCTGTGTGTAGGTTAAAAAGAACATGCTGCTGAACAAAGCTTCCCTAAAAAAATAAAAGACTCTGTTGCTCCACCACTGGTGGGGTTGTTGTCAAGAGTGAGTTCTGCTTTAGCTGGTGGAGTGATGGTGGTCCATCTATTGGATTAGTGGAGGGATTTCACTGTGGTATTAATCTGAGAAGACAGCAGGCGACCCGGTCTGAGCTCATCCTGAGCTGTTGTGTCTCTAGGTCTCTGGCTGTCACTCAGCTCTCTGTTTCATTGCCGTCAGATGCATCAAGGCAAACAGGAGACCTGTCAGACAGCATGAACCTTTTCTGCTTTTCACTGGTAAGACACATTTTGCTTTCTGTACCTACTTAACAAGTCGTGTCTGAGTAGCTGAAGCAAGAGAATGTAGCATGTCCTCTAGGAATAGTTACATGTACCTGCATTAAATATTTGTAAAGCGTAAAAGCATAATGTATGTAAGCCAGTAACTGTGGTAAAACACTGTGTACAAAGTTTTATGATACTGTGCCATCTGCTGAGTGAGCTACTCCAAAGCCAGGCAACTAGAACTGTGGTGAGACTCCCAGTGTTAGAATGATGTCGAGGTTGCTGATCAACAATCACAGTTACCTAATGTCTTGCTAAAGTAAACAGAGGCTTTGACAGTGACTGGGTGCTGATGGTGTTCTTCACATGTACTGTGGCTTCTTGTGCATATACTGTAGAAACAAAAACATGGAATTTATGGAATTACTTGAACTTTGATTGCACACTGTTGTTACAATGCCACGACACACACAGATAACCAATAGACACAAAATTGAATGTGTGGGATGAAAACAAACACAGTGGAATGATATGATTAAATGACTGTATTCAAGATTACACCCATACTGTAACAACTGAAAGCATGAAGGACAATAAAAGGAAGTAATATTAAAATATTGTATACTCAATGCAATAATAACAACAATAATAATAATAACAATACATCATGGTTTCTTGGGTACAGAGGTATATTTTTCTTTGTATTTGATCATAGGTTTAGTCCAAAATAAACTATTAAAACTGCCTGCACTGAAAGTTTAATTCTTTTGGACTCATTTAAACATTAAAAGGCTGATTATTTAGATAATCAGTGTGAATCAAAGCACCTCTCCTTATTGCCACTACAAATGTCTGCCTGTCCAGTACACATTGTACAGATAAGACAGATCATGAAAGAAACTGGGTGTGTGTAGAATGTTTTCCTAGAAGGAATCCAAACAAGCTGCACAAATTTTAATCTCTGAGGAATTCTAATCCTTCCGTTCATTCACAGCTGACAAGTGAATTTCAGAAAGCTTTACTGCAGCATTAGCGCCATCTCCTTCCTACCATATCAAATCCCCACAACTCTAATTTTGATGCTTTGCCTCCTTTTGCTATGGCATAAATATTTGTGTAGGCTGTCTTACACATTGCATGAGTTTTAGGCCCTGGAAACGACCACTGTTTAGATTCTAAACCGATATGTATTCACCAGTCATGGAAGATTTTATTTTCACTTCTGAAATGCAAGAGTTTGCATTAGATTAAGAAGTCGTTATAGGGCTAATCTATTCATAAATCATGCCTGTGGCTAAATTTCACCTGTCTAACAGCTGTCTGTCTGTCCACATGCGATTAGGAGGGGTCTATGGACAGCCTCTACGAGGTGGCGCAGAGCTCCAGTGATGGCGCACCACAGCCCGTCCCCAGCCGCTCCTCCAGCCGATCATGCAGCCGTTCCTGCAGCCCTGCGGTCCTGCTGGATGACAGCACAAAGTGGCGAGGCTCAGGAAGATCTATATCTATGGTGAGAGGGACACATATAGCAGTTTCATATGTTATGCTACACACTCAGGCATGCCCATACACATGCATGTTGTGCACATTAAGAATGGTGAGGCCATGTGAACACTCTGAACCAGACTGCACGGGGGCGGGGGTCACTTCTCAGGGGAACTAGGACTGTTGGACTTCCTTACCACCAGATTGCGCCTATAACATAAAGCTGATTATGACATGATGAACAGAGGCAGTTGTCAGTTCCTGCTTTTTTTTTCCATTTCTTTAATTCAAGGTTGTTGTGTAAATTAAATGTCATAAAAATGTTATAAAACTACTACTACTTCATCCAAACTCATTCAAATGTGACAGAAATCTGGCACAGACTGTTAAACTCTTACATGTGACTGTAAGTTCTTCTTTTCCTTCAGGAGATGCCTCGTGTGCAGGGGACTGACTCTAATAAAAAGAAAAGAAGGTGAGCTCAGTGAAGAACTTGACACAAACATGTTAGCACTGTACACTAGACAAATATAATGCACTTCTCTTATATCATTGTTGCTTTATCATATATCAAGCCTGTCATTGTGCTGTAAGCACAACTGTATTAAAAACATTAATGCAGGCTTCTGTTAGTCCGCTGTATAACCTTCTCTCTGTTACTTCTGTTAGCTGCATGTGCAAACCAGTACAGAAACCTGCCCAGCAAGTGAGAGGCCTTTCTCTTAGAGCAGCAGTATGGTTTGAAAGTCTCTCTGTTTATTTTCACTGAGCTTTAATACTATAAAACCTTCCAGTAGTAGAGCAAAAACGCTCTTCAGCAATGCTCCTCTTCTTGTCTTTAGATCATCTTGTGTATTTTATACAATGTCATGCTTCAAGGCCCTGTGGAGTGTTCTGAAAACAGAAAGTAGATTATGGTTGTGGGCTAAGTAGATTCAAGCCCCTTGAACTTTGTGGTCACACAGTGTGGTACATATAAAGGTCTACTTTTTCATTATGAGATCATTTTACCCTCATGTTTATGTCACTTTTGCCAAGTGTTTTGGTCATATTTTGTTGTTGTTTTTAGTGTATATTATAACAAATCATCATAATTGTGTGGTTATTGTGTTGTGTGATTTGACCAACAGGTCTGAAGACACTATTTACATAAATGCTAATTAAAGGAAAGCAAGTAATGACATATATTTTTGCTCATTTTAATTTCAGAACACATATATCCAAATCTGCATCAGATAATGAAGCACTGGGTGAGTACAAACAATTTTTTTTTTAATTAATGGACTTGTTGGGAGCAAGAGACCTTCTCAAATCATTATTGTTTGAGTATATTTGCACATAATGACAATGACAGACTCAAGACCACAGAGGAATAACTACCTTTTGAAGGCAGCTAGAAAAATGCTGCTGTCTATTATTTAAATTAAAGCATCCAATAACTTCAGCAGCTTCCTGTGCCTGACTCAAACTGAGAATATGATTCATGTCAGTCTGCTGTGGCTCTGTGATCTCTGTTCACCCCAACTATTCGCTTAAAACCCCCAGTGTTTGTGATTTATCCCCACCCACTGCAGATAACATACTGCAGTCTGACAGTCTGCCAAGTGCCGAGAAGATTTAGTCTCCACCAGCCACAATCACAATGAAGGAAAATAGGACATAAATGTGTTAAGCACATCTATAGGCCAACGCTCCTTTGGAATCTCAATATGATGTCTAAAGACATGGGCAAACCAGATCACTAACAAAACTGTGCTGCAAATGACTGGCTCACACATATCTGCTATGATCAATCATGATGTTAAATACAAAGAAGTGTTTAGCCTTTTCTAACTGCTGGGATTTGCACTAAGGTCAAGAAAAAAGGTAGTGATAGTCTACAAATCACACAACTCTGATAAGTTACTGTGTTCAAGAGTTTTAAGTCTGAGGGCTGGAGACATACACAAATAAATCTGTGTTGTGAGTAATGTCTTGATGGGGGTTTTAGGTTTTCTTTTGGTTTGCCAGTGTTTCACTAACCTGATGAAATATGCTGTATATTGCAATATTTTCTGTCCAGATATGAGGAAGACAAAGCACAGAACAGAAACCAAAGGAGGGAAAGGAGCTCATCATTCTGGCACAAAGAAAAAGGAGAAACCGCCTTCAAGCCAGGTTAGAACAAAACAATTATGTGACAAACAACATCAATAGGCAGTGTAACTATACATGCAACACTCCCTTTAAATCTTTAAACCTTTAGCACTAAATAAAATCATTGTCCATCACATATTGATGTATCTGTGATGGATCTGATGTTTGAGGAACATGCTGCAGCAAAAGTGAGACAAGGTTACATGGCACACCGGGCTATTTTGTGTTAACTTAGGAGTTTCAAGCTGCCATCTGCTCATAATCCAAAGAGACTCTGGTGGCCTAAATGGCACAATCATTTAACACAAATGCTGATTGGGTTTTAATACAGTGCAGATGGTACAAACGGGGTTCTGCTCTCCATGTAATCTCTGGGCCACATGGCAGAGGGATGTGAAAACAGGAGGAGGACTCTGTGCCTTGTTTATACATACTTGTGGGGATGCAACACTGGAAGCACACTGCTTTGCGGGAACCAGAAGTCACTTGTGAGGACCAGATGCTAGGCCTCATGACTAATTTGTCAAATTTTATGAAAGTGATGAGGTGTAAGGTTAGAGCAAGTGTCGGCTGTGGTTGAGGTTAGGGTAAGTCTCCTGGAAATAAATGTATGTCTATGTATGGACCCTGTAAGTGTGTGCATGTGTCTGTGTGTGTTTGGGGAAAGGGAGGGTTTAGAAACATACTGCCATGTCATTGAATGCCCATTCTGACTAATGACATTACATTGAGAAGCAAACAAAGCAGAGCCTGCCAGTAGCAGATCAGCATCAGCTCTCAGTGCTTCACAATGTGGCTGTGCAGCTAAAAATGACTCATATGGGATTTGTTAAAAGATGCAACATCTACTTTTTATTTTTATTTTTTAAATAATCACCAAACAAATCTGTCTAAATTTCTCTAAGAGCCTACAGTATACTAAGATGCTGATACTGACAATGCTAACATGTAGGTACAGTGTAATGTTCACTGTCTTTGCTGAGTTAGAATGCTAACCATTGCTAATTAACGTAAACACAAAGGACAGACACTGGTGGGATTTATATGATTTTTGCAGGAATTTAAACCAAAGTACAGGACAAATAATAGTTTCAATGGTGCTAGATAGTGAGTAGATCACCAGAGTTACAATTTCTGCTGAGGGTAACCTGAATGTCTGTAGCATATTTGTTGGCAATTCATTAGTTAGTTGTGAAAATATTTCAGTATCTGTTAGCATGGGTAAAAACTCAGCTGTGTTATGTTAGAATAAAGAGACTTTTTCTTGTCATAAAAGGTCCACCAATGTTTGAGACATCAGAAAAGGTGTAACATTTCATAGCTTTAGGAATGAAAGCATTTATATGGATTGTGTGTTGTGTTGTTTACTAGAGTGTCCATGTCAAAGGAGTGGTGACATTGTCTAAACCTCTGGTCAAAAGAAGCCAAAAGACTGGAAAGAAACCAGGTGGAAATAACAGGAAAGAGGTGTCAAAGAAAAGTCACAGTTCCACAGGTAAAATTTCTACACCAGCACAAATTTAAAGTTCTAATGCCCCAGAATAAACAGTCATACCTGGCCTTTCTAGTATTTATGTGACCCTATGACCAAGCTATGACTAAGCTAGACTGGTGCATTCAGTAACAGAACAGGCCCATGGAGCATGAGTATATCTCAAAATGTAGCAAATCTACTTCCTTCTGTTCTACTAAATTCTGAATTAATCTTCTGATTTTAAGTGCTGCAACACCTTCACTGTAGGTGTCTATGGTTTGCCATAAAGAATATAGCTACTCTTTAGCCAACAAGCATCTGTTCAAACCACACATAGGAGCTACTAGAGCAAGGGCATGACAGCAAAGTAGTTTTTGTAGTAGTGTCCAATCAGAGCCTTTGCTGAATGAGTCATTCCTTACACTGTAGTAATGAAGCTGAAGCAACACCTCATCATGACACAAGTCTGGCTCCATCCAGTTTAAATGAAGAAACCAGCATCAACGTCTCTGACATTTATCCAATTTCAGAAAGGTGAGAAATGTCTAGAGCTCAATTATTCTCTTTCTCATTTGGTTTTGAATTTCTTTGGATCTCGGCATGATGTCTAGCTTTTGAGGATCTTTTGGTCTACTTCACTTTGTCAGGCAGGTCCTATTTAAGTGATTTCTTGATTGCGAACAGGTGTGGCAGTAATCGGGCATGGGTGTGGCTAGAGAAATTGAACTGAGGGGCGATAAACCAGAGTTAAGTTATGTTTTGACAGGGGGGGGAAACACTTATTCACACAGGGCTTTGTAGTTTTGGATTTTGTTTTCCCTTAATAATAAAAACCTTCATTTAAAAACTGCATGATGTGTTTACTTGTGTTATCGTTGACTAATATTTAAATTTGTTTGATGATCTGAAACATTACAGTGTGACAAACATGCAAAAAGATAAGAAATCAGTAAGGGGGCAAATACTTTTTCACACCACTGTAGCTACTCTTTAGCCAACAAGCATCTGTTCAAACCACACATATGAGCTACTAGAGCAAGGGCATGACAGCAAAGTAGTTTTTGTACTAGTGTCCAATCAGAGCCTTTGCTGAATGAGTCATTCCTTACACTGTAGTAATGAAGCTGAAGCAACACCTCATCATGACACAAGTCTGGCTCCATCCAGTTTAAATGAAGAAACCAGCATCAACGTCTCTGACATTTATCCAATTTCAGAAAGGTGAGAAATGTCACATTTTATTTCTTTTCTTCCACTCTGTCTTCTTTCATGGTGCACCCCCCCCAGTAGGCACTATGAGCCCACCCATGCGGCCCCACTATATGGACGTGGCATACAGATCAGACAGAAGGCCCTACTATGGCAAGTCGTCCACACTCCTCACCCTGGAGAACACGACGCGGGGTCACTGCACAGACATGGCCATCTTACCTGGTGGAGCAACACCCAGCCATACCCACCATCCACGCTGGAGCAACCCAGGTGAAATCAGTCCTGCCTGGGCGGCCATCCAGCACACCTGTCGCAGGTCACTCACAGAGTATTGTGTGTACTCCCATGACTTCAGCACACCCAGTGGGAAAGAATGGGACAGAAAACTGCAGCAAACAACAGTACAGGATAACATCTTGAAGTGTGACTGTAAACCCCAGATTCTCCCAAAAGTGCCACGATCGATCACTGCTGTGGCTCTGTTGGAATCAAATGTGAGATTTTTGCTAATGTTTATTATTCTCAAATGTTTAGTTATTCCAGGAATAAGGTGCTGGATATACACTCTCACTTTATGTTGTAACAGCTCTGTGCTAAACTTTTGTCTCATCTTCACTTAAACCTCAGAAATGCTTAGTGCAACTGCAGCTCGTAGTATTTTCTAATACAATTTTTCCAATTTTTTGCTGCAAAAGGATGTTATATTAAAAAAATTATGAGGCATCCACTGTTATCAGTTATACTAAAATACAAACATACAGTTAAGCTCACTTTCATGCTGTTTCCCAGCTCTGTTTCTAAATAATACTGGCGGCAAATTTCAGGTTGTAGATATAACTTGTTTTGGACTACTCGGGGACTCAGGAGTCACTGAAGTATTAGATTAGAAGACTTAATCTGGATTGATAGGAGTTTATGGGCTGATTGCAAGCAGTGGGATTAGACAATGATTTTGTCTGTGAAATTCTATTTTCTACAACTGACCGACTGACCTTCCCCCACACTATAAATTCAGCAGCAAATCCCCACATGGCCACATCAGAGCCATGACTAACTGCAGTGCGGGGATTCATTGGGGAGGCTCTCAGTTTGTTAGGTGGCATGTGATAATTTAAAGATGTTCAGCCTTTAACAAGAAAAAAAAAATCTACGTGTTTGATGGTAAAGCATTAAAGACATAAAATGAAAACTATTTACTTCTGTATCAAGAGCAGGGAGAAACTGGATAGCGTTTCGACACAACAAAGTTGCCTCTTTCTGCTGTTCCTCTGTCACATATCAGCACTTCCTCAAAAGTCCTTGCCCCACATGAAGAAATGAAGGCAGAAAAGTGATCACTCCAGCATCATTTACCACCACCAAGTTCCTCATTACTAATAAATGGAAGTTTTGAGGGAACATGGAGGTTAGAATTGATTTGATTTCAAAGATTTTTAGATGGTTACATGTCGCCTTCCTATTTGAGCCATAAAATTAAGAGAATATATTTTACTCTTAGACACATAATTAGTCTGTCATTTTGTTTATATGGCTGTCTCTCACGCTAGTGGTTATGTGATTGAGATTGACATTATAGCCCACCTCTGAGCAACTCTGAGCCACAATAGAAGATATGACATAAGATCATCCTTAGAAAAACAAATACCACAATTATAACATCAAAATGCTGCAGTTCCTGGAAGCGGGTCTTGATGTTTTTGTTGAGGAGGCCACAAAATGCATACATAAGCATCTGAATTTTTCCCTTCTGAAGTGTTACTGCAAAGCGATACACAATGTCAATTGCTTCACATCCTGTGCGTGGCAAGGAAGTGGGCCAGCTGGTGAAGAGGCAGAGCAGCCTCAGCTTCAGTTAACACTTCACTGTCAGGAGACTGGTGTAAAGAAAAGAGAGAAGCAAGGAGTGACTTTTGACAATTACCATAAAATCACAGAAAATGTTACAGAAGACGGCATCTAATGTGTCAGACAAAGCAAAGAGCAGCAAACCAAAGGTAGGCAGAAATCTATATAAGGATATAAAAATATGAGCTGAAAACATGATACTTGGTAGGAAGTAGAAATGTTCCAATGTCACCTTTGACATAGTCACTTTAAAAATGACAAACATTTTCAAGATATGAGTCATTGTCACAGAGTCGTTGTTATGGCTGAAAATCTTCTGTGCAAATTTGCATCGGTCGTAGCTGAAGTTCTGTGTAACATAATTTAGTAAAGATACATTTCAGTGGGTGTCAGGATAATATACTTTGAAAAATATTGATAGGTCATTAAAACAAATTATACAACAACACAAATGTTGGAGCATGAAGCTCAAAGTTAACCAGGATTTCCAGGGATTATTCATTTATATAATTGTTTTGGTGCTCTGCTGTGGAAACGATGGGGGGCTGGGAGAGATTATAATGACTTTTAGTTTTATGAACTAAATATGAATTAAACTGAGCCAGAGTAAAACGACTGTGAGCGTCACCAGGATTGTGAGGACACAACATTATTTATAGTATGTGTTTACTTATTCATTTTTAATTCCGGTACATTTGCTGGTGCTGTATGGAAACAAATGTTCTTTCCACCGCAGCTGAACTGCTGCGAGGTGTAAAAATATGACCACAAATGTATCACACAAATTACAAGCTCACTTTGAAACACACTCAGAACCAATCGATACAGACAATAGAAATAGAGAGCTGATTACAATGGAAAACCACTTCATAAAGTGAAGCAGGATTAGGATGTTCGTGTGTGCCTTGAAACGACCTGATGTTATGTAATGCTGTTGTAATGCCTTGCAACATTAACCCCACCAGCTGTCTTTGTCTTTTAATCTTCCCCACAGCGTTCCACAAGCTTTGGCAGGTTTGAAGGCCTCAGACATCACTCATCACAAGCCAAACCAGAGGAAAATGGGACAACTATGGTTTGTAGATTTGTTTAATTACCTTTAATATATGAAGTGGTAAAAAAATGTGACTGTAGGAGCAAAAACTGTGAACGGTTCTTTATAAAAATAAGACACTGGAAAACAACATTCATCCTGAGAAAAACCCTGGGCAGCATAGGAATAGATGCATTTTAATGCAGTATATACACTAAACCAGCTTTGTTTTCACAGCTCACAGAGGAATGTGAAAGTTCAGACCCAAACAAATCAGCTGGACTGGGGAAGAAGATGAAGGCAATTTCACTGACCATGCGCAGAAAAATGGGCAAAAAATACACCAAGTCTTTCACTGAGGAGACAGTGAGTCACTGGAAATAGACACACACACACACACACACACTCACACACACACACACACACACAGCAGTACTATCAGGTACCAGGTATGATGTAGACATAAATTACTGATTCACTGGTACAAATTCATGTAACCCAATCAAACATGTTTATGTACAGATAACCAAAACCCCCTTGATACCTACCACATGAACTAAAACTCCAGAGTCCCCCTACAGTCAGTCTCACTTACAGCAAACATCGGCTGTTTTTCTCAAGAACTATATCACTTTCATCTCTCATAAACCCACATCCTCAGATATGCTGCTGTCAATAGCAGTATTTAAATGACATGCTTTACTATGACTTACACTGGAAGTGTCTTCTTGCAATTTTGTGTTTTACTGTAACACAGACGGAGATATAAGATGACACGTTTGAGTGACTCTAGCTTTCACAACCTACATCGCTTCCTGAAGCTCTGTTTTAATTTCCTTGTCTTTTACTTCCATTGCTTGATCAGTCTACAGCCGTTTGCACACTGAACGTGCAACTGAATGATTGGCGATTATGGGGTTTCTTTGCCTAATATTACATTTTGTTTCCTTACAGAGTGATGACACAGACAAAGACCCAGAGGCAGAAACCGAGGGCAGCCCTACAGTTGAGAAAAAGTCTGCAAAAACAACCACCTCTTTAGAGAATCTTTACATCGGCCAGAGCCACTCTAGTAAATATCTACACATACTGCATGCACTTCATGTTTGGACCAAAGAGTACTGTGTTTTTGTGGTTTTTATAGTGTTTGCAAATGTGTGGGGTTTGCTCCATGGATTAAATCATTTCGCAGTATAAGAAAAGAGTTTAAAAGTCATCTTATATTAATATACAGTATTAATTAACTAACATCATACAGTATTATTAGATCACCAGAGCAGTGTAATCATTCTGTGTTGTCTTGTGTTTGTGGGTTCAGGCGGTGTGACCATCGAGTCCAATGTTTCTAGTCAGAGAGACAGTCTGAGGCTGGAGGAGGATGGATCCTACCAGGGACCGTTCTGTGGCAGAGCTCGTGCCCACACAGATTTTGTTCCCAGCCCGTACGACACAGACTCCCTCAAACTCAAGGTGAGATAAAATTTTCTATATACAGTGTCATGTTGTGAGCTAAGAACCATAATACAGTAGAAATGATTATTTTAACAAATAAAAAACTATAAGACTGACTAAAAATACAGGTGTTAAGCTTTCCAGATAATACCTCTGACATTAATGAATTATTACAAGTTGAACTGTACAAATTAACACTATTTTATATATTCTAAACAGGCAGGGGACATTATCAACATCATCAGTAAGCCTCCAATGGGCATCTGGACAGGCATGCTAAACAACAAAGTGGGCAACTTCAAGTTCATCTATGTAGATGTTTTAGCAGAGAAAGAAGAAGAAGAAGAAGCTCCCAAGATCAGACAACAGAAGCTTTGCAAAAAACCTCGACCTAAAACACTGCTGGAACTACTCGAGCGACTGAACCTCAAGGTTCGGATGGTCTCTTATTTTTGTCTCTCTACTCTTTTTAGCAGATTTATCTGTGAGTTAGTACCAAAGCTGTAAATCTAATCAAATAGCACAGTGAAGTTAAAACAAAAAATACAAACAATAATAATAACAAACAATACTGATTTCACTGGCCAGAAAATACCAGAAATATAAAAGATTGTACTGCCAATTTACTGAACACTAACTGATTAACTACTGAAATAAATGCTACAGTTTCATTATAAAGCCTCCAATTTGAAATCTATATCACTGAATATCTTTCTAAATACATGATCTGAAAGTTGACCTCGGGTTTTTACTATACACTATGTTGATTATTATTAATATGTTGGTAATGATGACGACGCTGTTGTTGATGCAGGAGTATGCCTCTGCCTTACTGCTGAATGGCTACCAGACAGTGGAGGACCTGATGCACCTGCAGGAGAAGCACCTGATAGAGCTGAACATTAATGACCCTGAGCACAGACACAGGCTACTTGGCGCTGCTACTTGCCGCTACACAGGTCAGCAACATACTAAACTGATTAACTAAACTATATCAACTAAACTATACCTCAAATCGACAATAATAAGAGTTACTTTCTCCAAAGAAACCAAATTAATACAGTGAAAATGTCAGTATAATAGTATATGGCAAAGTATCTCTGTGCAGTAATGTCTTTCTCAAACCAGGTAAAGCTAATTAGTTTGATACTAATTAAATGTGACACATCTATGGTCATTAGCCAATCAGAAAGGAGTATACAACAAAGCCCACTAACAGTATCACTTTTCTTTACCTGGAGCATGTACTTTATTCTAATAAAACAAATTACTATTATTCTTTTTTACATGAGTATGAGCATGTATATTTGTTTCTATCACTTGATTGCTGCTAATTCCTTACTGCTAAAGACCAAGCGCTGAATTGTTTTCATTCTTCAAATTGTAAAATAGAGGTGAGAGCTAAGATATTTATGCCACACTGAGTAGGAACACATGCTGCTTATTGTGAGAGGATTATCACTGACTTTCTGTTACTCAGATAGAAAGTGCCTATGAGGGCAGGCATTGTTCCTTAATCTGGTATCTTGAAACAGGCTGATTATTACAGAGCCCTGAAAGAATGAACACAAAACTACTTTCCAGCATGAAGCAGGAACAACACGGCTAGTTTTATTTAGCCAGTTTGGTTTATTAAATGTAACTTAGGCAGATATTTAAATGTCACTGTAATTTTTCTGCTTGGGTCATAGTGTGGTTTCTGTGATAATTTTGGCAATAACAACCTTAATCATCAAAAAGAATGTATAGTACTATTGCTATAAATATGGGTTAATTTCTGTGGACTGATCACATGGCGCAGATTTCTACTGCTCTATTGTGGCTGGAAACAGGAACTTCTGATAATATGATTTGATTTTATTTAATCCTATTTGGTTTGTGGCCACAGGTGATGATGTCAAGGATGCAGAAGAGCACACATCCTCCAACAGTCCACAGGAAGAAGACAGCGACTGTCCCAGAGACTCGGGCTGCTTCATCCCATCTGAATGTTCAGATGGCAAAGAGGACACAGAGCAGCTCACGGATGCTGTCAGTTCTTAATGTGCTTATTTATCAGATGGATATTTGACATTTAGAGTTCTAGGTTGGGTATTTTCTTAGGACTTTGATGAAAATAGTTTAACCGATAAAAATAGTTTAACCATGTATTCATCATATTAATATCACTCACTGATGTGTGATACAGTATTGTACAGGAAAAACATCCAATATTCTAAATGTCATCTTATCCTTTTGTATTTATGAAGATATTAATCAGGCTGTAAGGTTTTTTGAGCTTCATTTTTTATTGTATGTTGTTGAAGAAGTGACATTTTTGTTTAAACATCACATGTATTTATTGTATTCTAAACCATTCAGTGTTTCCACATATAAAGCCATTATTTATCACAACTGCATTTACCTTCCTCATCAAATCCAATCTAAATTCATTCAGTGTAACCTTTTTTCTCCTATGAATGAGGTGACAATGTGAGTTTGAACAATGCACATTCAGATCTTGCCTATCAAGTATACTGTACAGTGTGTGAGCACGTGTGTGTGTGAGAGAGACTGCTTGTGCACTCATTTGAAAGTCAGTGTTAATCTGTTTCCACCACTTTTTGTAAATAAAATTAATAAAGTACAATTAAATGTGAGTTTTTGCTGTCAGTCAGAATTATTTATTTGACATACCAATACAATGCCTAATATGAGTAATGCCTAAACAGTAATGAATTAAAAATAAAAAAGTTTAAATTTAATTTAAGTTAACTACATTTGCAATTTGTGTAATTTATGACTATGATTAATTTGAATATTTTTTTTATTTTAATGTGAACTTTCTTCTGCTCTGGCTTTGTCGGATTGGCTAAAAAGAGTAATACGTCATGGAAAGGTCATGATACACTGTATGTCGCTAGCGTTAATGGGAGCTGTAGTAGAGCGCGACCATTTGCTGCATTGTCATTGGCGTCTATAGTGTACGTCCGAAACTACATTACCCAACATTCACAAGGAGACATGTAATGTTGACGTGTATTTCGTTGACGGTCTGAAAATTTCCTACTTCGCACTGTCTAGATGTCAAACTGGGACGTTATTTAACAGCAGCTTTAACAATTTACCGATATTTGGTTAATTTTAAGTGGTGGTCGACGTCGAAAAAGTGGGTGACGATGTCCGGAGAAATTTCTATGATTGGTAAGTTGAATGACAGTTATTTTTCCCGGTGATTACTTTAACCGGTGATCGATGCTAACAGATTGGGCTCGTCTCGAAGTTAACAGACGTAGTTACTGTGCCACAGGTTCTGTTATCCTGGCCCTTTTCCTGGCTGGTTATCTGGGCCAGCAGTATTTACCTCCACCCACACCTAAAGTAATCGGCCTAGACCTCGGCACCACTTTCTGCTCGGTGGGCGTCTTCCACCCTGGCAGCGGAGAGGTGGAGGTGATAGAAGATGAACAGGGGAGGAAGAGCATCCCGAGCGCCGTCTCTTTCACCGCCACTGGGGTGCTGGCCGGACATGAAGCAGCGGACCTGGCCGACAGAAATCCGCAAAACACCATCTACGATGCCAAAAGGTTCATCGGGAAGATATTTGAGCTGGAGGTCCTGGAGCAGGAGAGTATTCGGTACCCGTTTAAGGTGGGTGGTGCTGTGACTGGGATTGGAGGGTAAGCTGTGAAGTGTTTTTTTTTTTGCTTTATATGTATGAAGCAAAAATGCTGACATTTTATTTTCCAAGTCTTTAATTACTTTGAAACGCTTGTGCGTCAGTTTCTCAACATCCTTGCTCACACCGTTTCTTTGCCTCTTTTCCAGGTGATTAACAACAATGGAAGCGCAGAGTTTCTTATCTCCACCAATCGTACCTTCTCTGTGAGCCCAGAGTTCATCGGCTCCAGACTGCTGCTGAAGTTGAGGAAGATGGCCGAGCGACAGCTGGGTGTGCTCATCCAGAAAGCTGTCATCTCGGTGCCTGCAGAGTTTGATGAGAGACAGAGGAACTACACTGTCAGGGCTGCCAACCTCGCTGGTCAGTTATGGCAGGGGGGTTTTTTTTTTTTTTTTGGATAATGTTGGAATGAATGTTAGTTGTATGTCATCTATATCTGTCTCATTCTACTTTAAAACAAAAGACAAAATGCTTTCACCATTTAAGGCTTGTTTGAGATGGAAATACGCCTCGTCTGGGAAGCGGATGAGAGCTTTCCAGCAGCCTTCACACCCTGTACAAGAAGTTACAGGAACACTCGCAACCTGTTAGATCCAATCCCCATTGTTCTCAGGGTCCAGAAGTTTTGTTTGTTTTAATTAATTAGATTTAACTTTGTCATTACCCCACATGTACAAATACAAGGCAACGAAATGCAGTTTAGCATCTAACCAGAAGTGCAATAACAGCAGTGTAGAGCATCTACAGTCAGTACTAATTTACCGATAGATATGTACAATTGATATTTACAGTAAGATATTTAGGGTAATGTACGATCTACAGCAGACTATGGATTCAAAATACAAGTAATAGACAATGTACATTAAGCTTATGGAACACTAGTGCAATGGGATGAGATGGAAAGAAACAGTGCAGAATAAGAAGACAACAATAAGTTTCATGAGTTCAGTGGATGTAAATAGTGCAAAGATAAAGATAAATATGCAGTATCTGCATATGAACAGTGTGTAAATGAATACAGAGCAGCATCGTGTGAGTAGTGTATGTGCAAATTAACAGATCACTTCAGTGTTACAGGTAACAGAAGCATATTGGATGAGTCCTGGAAGGAGAGATGAGAAGGGGTGAGGTGTGTGTAGTGGTATAGAGGAAGGCAGTGGGTGGGTCAATGGGGGACAGAGTTCAGTAAAGAGACAGCTGTGGGGAAGAAGCTGTTCCCGAGTCTACTGGTTTTGGTCCAGAGGCTCCTGAAGCACCTCCCAGAGGGCAGGAGGTCAAACAGTTTGTGAGCAGGGTGAGAAGAGTCTTTGAGAATGCTGTGAGCACATTGAAGACAGCGTTCCCTGTAGACACCCTCAATGGCTAGAAGTGGAGTCCTTGTGATGCGTTGGGCAATTTTCACCACGCGCTGCAGCGCCTTGTGGTCAGAGACAGAGCAGTTTCCATACCAGACTGTGGTACAGAGGTAGAAGTTCACCAGGATGGCTGAAGACAGATGGTTCTTCTTCAGTGTCCTCAGGAAGAAGAGGTGCTGGTGGGCCTTCTTAACCAGGCTGCGGGTGTTGGTGGTCCAGGACAGATCCTCTGAGATGTGGGTCCCCAGGAATTTGAAGCTGGAGACACGTTCAACAACCATCCCATTAATATGGATGGGGTCGTGTGTGTCTCCTTTCTCCCTCCTGTGGTCCACAATGAGCTCCTTGGTCTTGTCGGTGTTAAAGAGCAGGTTAGAAACTGCAGCTGCCTTGATCTAGTGAGAATATTGTTGCCTATGTAGGTGTTGCATCAGAGCAAGTCAGGATCAAGCCAGACAGAAAACTAACCAGCATGCACTGTGTGCTGATCACTAAGCAGATCTGGCTCATCTTGAACATGCCTGTAGATACACTGCAGGCCACATACACTGCATCTGTTATGCACCTGGCATAAAGTCCACACTAATTCCCTTGTTACTGTCTTGCAGGCTTGGAGGTCCTACGTGTGATCAATGAGCCCACTGCTGCAGCCTTGGCTTATGGCCTGCACAAAGTGGACGTCTTTAACGTCCTGGTGGTCGACCTCGGAGGAGGAACCCTGGATGTGTCTTTACTCAACAAACAGGGAGGCATGTTCCTCACCAGAGCCATGGCGGGTAGGTGTTTTACTGCTTCAGGGA